CAAACTTACTACTTATATCCACCGATCGCTTTATATTTAAGCTTAAAGCATTAGCAATCTTTCTTCGCCATCGTTCCATGATCCCTGGCTCTTTGTTGAGGTCACTACCATAAAGAGTAAAAGTGAATAGATTCGAAAGTCGAGCTCACAAAAAGACGACGGCGTATCCCTCGTGATGAGCCATATATTGGCTTTACTGGAACGTTCATGTTAACACTGTTTCTGAAGCAATCTCCCTCGATTCCGAGGAAAACATAGTAAACTTCATCAGAGCTGGACATCATCCTTACAACCACATTCAAGCTAGCCAGTAAAAAGAACTCACCGGCTCATCCCTAAATGCAGTATGTATACCATTATAGCTAGGCTTAACATATTTTACAGGAATCCAAGATTGCTTAAGAAATAGCGTAAACAAGAATGTTCCAGAAAGCCAAATGACAGTCGATCAAGAGGAATCTGCCGTAAGATCGACATTCAAAGCTCCTTGTCAATAACTTTCAATCGAAGGGGAAGTGAGCTAATCATTTATAGACCAATAGATTACTTGAGGTTTTGATCAATGCTATCAGGTAAACCACGATAATCATGGCAGAGCAACGACATGATTGGTCCAATCTTTCTCATCAGGTTTACCAGATTTTGACAATTACCCTTCCACCTGAACAGGCAATAAGACGAACTTCCCAGTGAAATCACACCACTCATGCAAAATAAAAAAAGCATTGCAAAATGAGAATGGTTACAATTATATGTTGATCTGCAATCTTTCCCTATTAAGACAACACATTAAATCCGTTTTTTCTTTCCAACTCAAGGCCCTACACGATACGAAGTGTATTCACATTATTTCGTTTAAGGTATTAGTCGAATTTTTCCCATGACCACATGTTTCCATTGAATATTACATGGCCCTGCTTTCCTAACAGGTATTCCCATCTAGAGTTTCGACCTCGCCTAGGCTTTATCAACACTCCAAAGGGGACTCGAACCATAATACTGCAGGGTATAATCTCGATACGCGAACCACTATGCCAAATTTCTACGAGTTCCCATTGGGCTACATGGAATATTTGAATTTCAAAGAAGGCCAGGCATCTTTTCCATCTCCTATTCTGTGGTGAGATTTTGGATGAAGCAAGGCTATATTTTCTATAATAATCGACCACATTAGTTATCTTTCGTTTATAAGGCGGTTTTTGAAACGAGTAGATCATTTTTATGAAGGGTATATATCCTATTTTGTTTAAGGTGATAGGGGGAAGACTACAATGATATGAGTGTCTTAGATTTCCATTGTATTTCGCACAGCTTTAACTTTCCAAAAGTTATTCTCATCCAGAGTGGGCTGTAGTTTCCACCTCGTTTGGAGCTTATCAAGACCCCCAACCGGATAGATTTAATTAAAATCTCAAGAGTTTTGCCATATAATGAAAAATTTATTGGGAAAAATAATATCCTAGGATCAAAAAATAAGAGCCTGGAATACGAACAAAGTAATTCAAATTAAAAGTTGCAATTAAGGTTTTTTTCTCAGTAGGTATTGAAAAAAAGGGGATGATTATAAAGACGGGGAAATATAACATTCAATATTTTGGGTGTCTAAAAAGAATAACTTGTAATAAGATATAAAATTTGACATCGCCATTCCATTTGCTAATTACATGGCCAACCGGATGATAAAGTTTGTGTCCGAAAGAAATAATTATATCTAGGCGAAAAACAAAACGAAGAAAATCTTAGATGAAGAATCATCATCGAATTTAAACTGTTATGACTCGAAATATAGCCTCAAGAAGCATCAATTTCTACATTTCGTCAACCTCGAGGCTGGAAATCAGTTTCATAGACACGCTGGAAAACTGCTCCTCCAGATTCTCAGCTTTCTCATATTTCGATGATGGATGTCCAATCAAGAATTCAACAATCCAGGAAATGAACGTTAAAACACACCCAAGCCCAGATAAACTGGCGGCTAGGATAAATGTTGGGAAGTAGGTTGCGGTTTGATCGAAAAGCATACCTACAAACAAGGCATCCAACGAAGGCGTAATGCACAATAGAAGAAAATAAAGGATGGAGGTATAAGAAAGAAAAACAACTTGAAACATGAGTGAAATAGAAAAAGCAAAGTATACACGTGGCAAGTATGTTTCGAGATTAACAGTATATAATAAATAAGAACTGAGTAAGCTAAAGTTGGCCCTGTAAGAGAAAGTCTTTTTAAAAGCAAGGCTAAATTAAATTCGGTAGGTCTGGCTTGCATTAAATGATACAACTGTTAAAATAACTCCACTATCAGTAAGTAATTCACTATAAGCGACCCAACATCTGGGAATGTACCAAGTCCACGATCCGAATATGGAAATTATCATGCATACAACGGACTCCTGACTAGGTGCGTTCCTTTAAGTTTTCCTACCAATGTGACCAAGTTGCGAAACCAATATCAAACAACTTCGATACAACGAAAGGAGACCGCGACCATACAAAAGACCACACCGTCCTGGTCTTCATACCTATGATTAAACAAAGTAAATATGGGAAAATATGAGCTTACCCCCAAGTAAGGTGCCCACTATCGACATGACTCCGGAAGTCGCAAGAAAAATTCCAAGTCCAGCAGGCCAGAGAGAGTGTCCCAAGATGTCGACTAGCAACAACGGATAGAGAATGTATGAACCACCTACAGTGAGACCAAACATAATGCAGCTAAATATAAGAAGGCCTGCCAGGCGAAAATAAGTAGCGTCATCCATGGGTCTCCCAAAGTACAAGGGCAAAAAAGCGATCGACGTAATACTTGCGCAGTTGATGAATACATTGAGAGAGAACAGCATCCAATGGCGTCTCAGCATGGATAGATAAAAATGACGGTAAATGGGATGCTTCTGACTGGGGGCAGGAGACGCCTTGAGTTGGATGTCAGTGGATTCAGCCAAGCTAGGGATATCAAAGACATGGTTCCGTTTTAATTTACGCCGTTTAGCTAATGAGTCCATTGCGTAGGCAGTTGCTCCATAGAATACCATTCCTATTGAATAGTAGAAGTGAAAGAAAACGTGCAGGATATTTAAAGAAAGAAGATATTTATCAAAATTAATTAAAGCAGAAACCACGGAACGACTCTAAAATGATAAAGTAAATAAAATAAAGCAAATGCAAAAAAATAAAGCATTTCACGAGACAGCGACTATATATTGAGGAAGTATAAAAAGACAACATAGAATGTAAAGAAAAGAAAAGAATGTAAAAATCAAAGCTCCAATAATGCTGAGCCACTCAAGACAAAGTGAAGAAGAGGTTTGATTTTATTGCTAAAAACTATTCATTATATATATATATAAAAATTAGGAGAGACATATAAGGAGAGAGGAAAATTATTTGAGATATTAAATCTAGGCTCATGCATGATTAGAATCTCAGTCTAACCCCGGAGGATTTCATGAAAATACAGATGACTGAAAAAATGGCGGAAAGGATATAGGATTTAATCAAAAATAGGCACAAGAAGATGGATAAATATGAAATCTATGGGAAACCAAGGTCAAACCATCTGGAAAAAATGAAGATGCCTCTAGAATGACGAATCTTACAGTCTAGATCAGAAAGGGAAATAAAGTGATTAATCCGTCTTCCAGTCCTCTTGAGCTTGATTCAACAGTTATCCTCAAGACGGGATCCTTTTATTCCAAAAGGAATGAAAAGAAGGCAATCAAGGTCATTTTAGTGGAGGTGATAAATACCCCTGAAAACTACCTGAAAAATCAAAAGAAAGCTGGAAATGGAAATCATCCCTAAAATATTGGCGCATCGAGAACCCACACATAGCGCCAATATAACCAAGGTATATAGAGAATTGAAAAGAAACTATCGAATAGTTCTATAAGCCTGCGAATGAGGTGCGATAGTGGTGATGGGCAGGAAGGAAAATGAAAAATATTTCTCGAAGACTATTAACAAAAGACCCAAAAGTTAAAATCGGAGGTGCACTGCAAGAAATGCTGAAGGAGATAAATAGGAACGGGGAAATGGAGAAATGGACAATGAACTCACTCATACGAAAGGATGCAAGAGCCCAAGTAAAATAGAGTTTGTCGAAAGTACATGAAGAAGGGGAACCATTAAGACTGGTAATCAACAACAAACATTGACCGACGCATAAATTTGTGAAATTTATCTCCCTCAAATTACACAAAGTTAATAACGGATTAGCGAATACAGTGAAAAAATCATAAGAATTTAGCCAGTCAAAGACGCCAGTTTGGAAGGAAACGAACTTTGGGTGGGCTTTAAAATACTGTCAGTGTACAGTAACATCACATGAAAAAAAGCACTTCCCGCACTTTTGACCACGAGGGATACCAGCCAACACACACATACGGACATTAACGCAGTACCCTAGGATTAGATGGAAGTGCCAGAATAAGACAAGAGTGTGTTTTTCGAGATTCAAAAGAAGAAAAAGGGAAGCGGTTCATTGTCACAATAGCGATTATGACTTTAGCCTGACACAGGGCACCAAAGAATGAGGCAAAATGTGTGTGGAGATGAGGAAGAAGATAATTGAGTCATGGGTTCGAAGCCTAGGGAGATGAAGATTCCCAGGCACTGGAATGTGCATGAACATCCTCTAGTATAAATCCTCGGATATGGCGTAATCGAGGACAGGAATGGAAAGTTCTTAGGCAGACAGATTTCAGACAGCTAGACGCTGATTTTGATTGAAGATATGAAGACCAAGATGTTGTGGCCTCTATTATGGTCACAGTCTCCTTTCGATTTATAGAAGTGGATTAACCTCGTTGTTGCAACTTGATCTTTTTGTCAGGGCGACTTAGTAAAACGCGAAAAAAAGTTGGGTTTCGAGGAATCTCTTGTTTCATAATTGTTGAGCTTACTTTCATTTCGAGTGAAAGTGTTTGGTGAAGAGATTCAAAGGTCGATCCCACCAGAAGACGACGGTGGACTCTTCTTAACCAGCTGTCGATTGGCTTTACTGGAAGATTCATGCTCACGCTGTTTCCAAGGCAATCTCCTTCGATTTCAGTGAAGAGGTGCTAAGCTTTCGTCCGTCATATGACGGACATCCTCAGAGAAAAGAAACATCGTCAAAACAAAATTCAAGCTAACGAGTCAAGAAAACTCTGGTCAAAAACAAGATCGAATCAGCACAATTCCTCTCGATTTATTTATTTCGTTTTTGTCCATGTGGATGATAGATGCATTAGAAGATCGGAAGATAACGAAGAGGAAAGCTAGCACAAATAAAAGAAACTAACTGCGGTAAATACAAGCCCACATACATTAATTAGCCAACTATCAGAGGAAAGATGAGGGCATGTATAGACCTGCAGAATGTAACAAAGTACATTTTAGTATTAAAGTGATGATCCGTATCTATCAGACTCGTAAGTTAACAACTAGTTAGAGGAGTATTCCCCAACCTGTGACAACAATTTTGTAATAAGGCCCAATTTAAGAAAGAGAACTGTATGAAAATTGGTTAAATATGTAGGAATGAGAGAAAGCAGGCAGGATAATCTTGTTATAGAGAAGAATTCTATATCAGAAGTCTGACAGGCAGCTAAGCTGCCAAATTCGACATGAATAAAATATGAGCAAGTATATGATTTAGCGGAATTTACATGCCTAACTCATCTGTCAACAAAACGAATCGTCAAAAGTTAAACTGAACTGAAAGGCCATTGTAATTCGCACTCCCGGATTTAGCATTTAGACGGTGGGATTAGACAAGGCAGTATAGATAAAGTATAATGAGTAACAATGACTTTCCAGACATAACATTATTGTAGTGAAGTTTAATCTGTATAAAATAATGTAATGAATATAGGAAGAGTAACTGGATTTCGATAAATATGCTAAGCTAGTATTTCATTAGTGAGTAGGCTTTCGATAATATTTAATACGGATAAAAACAGGATAGACGCAGTGGAGAATGCAGCTAATTTGAACTAGCTACATAAGATGATATAAAAAAATATATGCTACTTATAGGACAAGCATTCAATTCATTATACACATGAGTAACTATAAAATTTAATAGGTCCTCAATTTACTCTAATCTAAGTTACTTAATTCAAGCAAGCTAAGCAAAATGACCTAGTTGCCTAAAGAGGGGCTCAAGAATATTTAAATTCTGTGGAAGAAATTCAATGTACATGCTAAATCTCATCAGAATGCAAGCTTCAATATAAAAAAGCAAAATTTAAAATCGCACTTATCCCAAGCGAATTCTGAAAGCCTATTGAGGGATCAGAAAAGTATATACAGAATTATTTTTTAAAACACTTCTACCTTATAAAACGCCGTGGCGCCTTATGGTAGACTGAAGGATTTAAGAGTTACCGATACAAGAACCGATGCCCATAGAAGAAGGCAGCCACGCAAACAGCTCCTCATTCAATTCAGCGTTTTCGCCCGCATACTTAAGGCCAAGTTCGGCCTCTCGACGAATGTAGTCGTACATAAAAGTCCAAGGAATTACATCAGCACCAATTACAAGGGCGTTGATCACAAGGTAAAAAAGATAGGGACGGTTTGTCCAGATACGTCGCGAGGCAAGCTGGAAAATACTGTCACGAAGGCTGAATAAAATGCGAGTCCAAGAATTTTGCGAGCCATGATCACTGTTAGAAGCAATCGAATCTAAAATATTATATACGAAATAGCAATATATGCAATTACCTGATTGAAAAAGTGCTACTATCGATGATATTACTAAACGATAGGCCAAGTAAAGTCAATATTAGATAACATTAT